GTTAATTTAACCTGCCTTCATTAGTCTCCAATCTGCCCCATGGCTTTTCTTTAAATGTCTCCACCATTCTGTATGCCTGACTTGGTCCTGTAGCTAGAGTTTTCCTGCCTGGCCCACAGTCAGGACAAATCTCTCTCACTTGCCAGTCCCACAACCACTCAAACCCGACCAAGTAAATACAGAGACTTATATTGGTTACAAACTGTATGGCCGAGGCAGGCTTCTTGCTAACTGTTCTTACAGCTTAAATTAATCCATTTCCATTAATCTATACCTTGCCACATGGCTCATGGCTTACCGGCATCTTCACATGCTGTTTGTCATCGTGGTGGCTGGCAGTGTCTCTCTGCCTCAGCCTTCCACTTCCCAGCTTTATTCTCCTCCTTGTCCCGCCTATACTTCCTGCCTGGCCACTGGCCAATCAGTGATTTATTTATTGACCAATCAGAGCAACACACTTGCCATACAGACCATCCCACAACATGGTCCTCATGTAGCTGGTGTCTCCCTGCAGCTGGGTTCATCTCTTCTCCTCTATTCCCATGAATCCTGTTCTCTCCTGCCTAGCTTTTTAGTGGTATTAAACCAATCAGAAGGTGCCTTGGCAAAGACTGATCTTCACAGGGTACAAAAAGATTATCCCACACAGTATTGCTTTACCATTTTAAAATACAATTTAGTCAACATGACTTTTAAAGCTTATTTTCTAATTCAGAACAAATGGACCAAAAATGACCTATAAGCCTGAAAATCTTGACTCACATACACACATCTCATATTGTGGATCTGGAGGTGAACACCAAACTGACTCCCCATGGCTGTTTGAAACCAAAACGGTAGCCACACTGTTATTAAGAAACTACATTTTTATACATTGTTAACAAGTCTCCATACCTTACAAGAACAAGTTTCTGTTTCCTAAGCCTACCCTGCAAAACATGTTTCAACCTATGCTGAACTTGTGACCCCATGATGTATGCTCACCATTTGCCTTACAAAAATAACCTGTGATAAGATTGCACTTTTGCCTTACGAAAATGTTTTTCCAGATACCTTGATGACTTTCTCCCACATGATGTATTTATTGAACTTCAGGTTTTTTTTAATTTCATCATTTCTAACTGCCAATTATCTCAATATCTGTTTTCTATAACCCTAACCCTTCTCCATTAAGGGACCTCTGCTGTGGGATGTTCTGTATGGCAAATAAATAAAACACTGATTGGCCAGTAGCCAGGCAGGAAGTATAGGCTGGACAAAGAAAAGAGAATTCTGGGAAGTTGAAGGCTGAGTCAGAGAGATGCTGCCAGCTGCCGTGAGGAGAAACAACATGTTAAGATACCAGTAAACCACGAGCCACGTGCAACTTATAGACTAATAAAAATGGGTTAATTTAAGATGTAAGAATTAGATAACAAGAAGCCTGAGCCATTAGGCCAAACAGTTTAAATAATATAAGCACCTGTGTGTTTATTTTATGAGTGGGCTGTTGGACTGCCGGGTTTGGCGGGACCTGGAGTGAAAACTCTAGCTACAGACCTCAAAAGGCAATGAGGGGCTGCCCTCTGAAATACCGACTTTGGGAGAGAAAGCCAACAGGCCAGTTCCTGGTGCTCCTGTAACATGAAGCTTGCTTTAGTCAGACATTTGTGCAGTTGGTTTTTCTCAGGCCTAACCACTGTCCACTGCTGTGGGATGTTCTGTATGACAAATGTGTTGCTCTGATTGGTTAATAAATAAAACACTGATTGGCCAGTAGCCAGGCAGGAAGTATAGGCAGGACAAGGAGAGAGGAGAATTCTGGGAAGTGGAAGGGTGAGGCAGACAGACACTGGGAGCCACCGCCATGACTAGGGAGATGTAAGGTACTGGTAAGCCATGAGCCACGTGGCAAGGTATAGATTAATAGAAATGGGTTAATTTAAGATATAAGAACAGTTAACCTGAAGCCTGAGCCATTAGGCCAAACAGTTTAAATAGTATAAGCATCAGTGTGTTTGTTTTATAAGTGGGCTGTCAGACTGCCAGGGCTTGGTGGGAACCGGAGAGAAAACTCTCCAGCTACAGTCCACTTAACTAGTTTGTTCCTCCCATACTCTACTGCAGGCAGGCAGGCACAAATCCACAAAGAGTAAACATCATCACACAAGAAGTCCAGGAATTCTTTTTGCCCACACTTTTAGAAAATGAAGCTCATATCATTGTGACATCACAGAAAAATGTACAAGAAATCACCTTCCAGCTTTTGGTAGACACATGTGCATCTTCCCCCAAGTTGGGCAAGAGTCCTGCCCTGCTCTACATTCCTGTTTCATCTCTAATATGGAACAGCCTGAGGCATTGTGCAAGGTTGTGGGGGTTATTCTTGGAGGGAGCGGACCTGGGTTGTGTGAGAGAGCAGAAGAAGCTGCCTTGGAGGTGCTGTGCTAAACTGGCTGGATCATGTGAGGTTGCAGGTCAAGGATGGGGTGAGGGCGATAGGGATTGTGCCTTGAGTGATGGTTTCTTTAGGGCGCTGCACGCACCCCAAGTCTGCCTTGGACTTCTGGGACAAGAGAGCTGCCTGGTACCATGGAGTAGATGATAGTACAAAGTCCAGGATTGAAGGCTAATGATGGTCAGCTGACTATCTGTTCCTGAGGCAGAGCTGGGAGCTCAGTGAGCAGCTTTGGTGGGGAAGCATGCTTCTCTAGCTGAGTCTTTCTCACATGGATGCTGTCAGATTTCTCAGAATCTGTAGAGTAACCAGAAATTCTGACCACCTCCTGTACTCTATAGCCGGCCTAGTGTAATGATTTTGAGGTCTTGATTGTGTTCATTTCCTCTGCCAATTAAAATATTCAGGAAGGAAAACCCAAGGCCCAACAGTTCACTGATGGGAAATTCTGAAATATGGCAGATCTGCCCAAATCAGCTGCTATAGAAAAGCTTTGACTAGGGTGAGAGAACACACATTCTGCAGACATATGGAGGGAAAGACCCAGTGCAAAGCAGAATGGGGACTAGAGAAGCTGAACCCAGCTTCACCTTGAAGGCTGGGTTTTCTTAAGTCTTTGAAAGGTCCTCCATCCCTAATGTAGGGATGAGTAATTACAAAACAGTGCTAGTGTCTTGCTTGTCCCAAAATGATTGTGTCAACATGTCCTGATCTGGCCTAGAGCATGTTGAGATAGTCCAGAAGCAGGATGTCTAGGAACAGGTGAAAAACTATCATGGCCTTGGGTTCCAGTGCCAGGCTTTTGTGTTAGGTCAGCAGGGTGAGGAAGAACTCACACACCTGTGTGTATTCATGTGATTTAAAGTAAACAGACCTGTGATAAAAAAGGAAACTTCAGTCTACTCTATTGTACATCCCTATCATCTCTGAATTTGGGAGGGGGAGGCAGGATCCTTTGGTCATTCCCTGCTTCATTGGAAATTCATGGGCAGCCTAGGCTACCCAATCTGTGACAGAAAACACTTGACCATACTTTATGGACATAAGAAATACTTCCTAAGGTTCATTTCATGTGTCTGAAACTGAGCACTATGTTACAAATCCATGCAATCAACACTTTACTGACATAAGAACTACAAGTGCTTAACATCTGGGGCCCATTCCAGGAGTAATTTAAACTTTTTTCACTATCATGCTTTTATTACAGACATATATTTTGGTCAAGAAGAATTCCTCTTTGCATTGCTTAAATATTCCTCCCTATATGCAGCAAATATTTATTTTCTTGGATATTAATGTATTAGTTACTGTCATGACCTGATGCTGATTTCTTCTGCTTTCACTGATTTCTTCCAGTTTGCTCCTTTCATATCTAATCTGAGACTCCATTATTTCTTCATTTCCATTCTGCAGTTCTTGACTGATGTGGCTACTGTGGTTCCATTCCCGGGTCTTTTTCTGCAACTGCAGCTGGGATGCCTTCCCCTGTCCTTACTCCAGAGGTTTCACTGTGTGCAGATGCTTCTTACAGTGAGCCAGGACAAAACCACTTCCTCCCTGTCCTTCACATGGGCACTGCCATGTCCAACCAGTAAAGCCAAGTGCTAATGCTGGTTCCTGCTCTTCACAGGTCCAGTCCAGTTCCCCTTGTTGAGCAGTCCTGTCTCTTTCCTCCAAGGCTTCTTTCATTGTGTTCTAATGTCAGTGTGAGGGAGGGAGTTCCTTGTGTTTACAACTCATGCATGAGCCTTGCTGTGTTAGACATGTCATATCTGGAAAACTTTGGAGGGGAGGTGTGCTGAGTGAGGAAATTCAGTTCCTGCTGATTGATCAATATGATTATGTCAGAGGCTATGGAGAGACATTGTAAAAGATTTGAACAGAGGTCAAACACATGCAAGGAATAAACCTGAGCAGCACAGATTTTCATTACATTGTCATTTTCGGTTATATTGATGCATGTCATAGTGCCCCCATTGCCATTATCACATGCAGTAACATAACAGTTACATATTTTGAGTTCAGAGGTGTGTCTGCTTGCCCTGCCTATTCTCTTAAAACTGCATTCCATTGTTCTCTTCTCTGCAGGATCTATTTTAATAGAAGTCAGTCAGACCTATGTCAGTGTGTGTCCCAACCCTTGACTGGAGACACTCCACTTGCTGCTTCAAGAAACTCAGAAACATTATATAGACGATTAAAATTCACAAATACACCTAGACATCTAATGGACACAGCAAGTGATATTTACTTTGAAACTAAATTCTCATTATATAATCTATGTTTCCCAAAAGGGACATTACACTTGGTCTCCTTTGTTTTTTTCATGGTTCCAATTCCATTATCTGAATCATAGTATTTCAAAATGTGGTAAGTTTAAACCAAAAGAATTAATGATTGCTGCATGCCACATTTATTGGGTAAAGAGCCAAGATATCGATCTAGGAGTTGCTACTTGATGATGTGTTTTAAGCACTAGGCCATTTAATCAGTACATTGGCAGTTTTGAATGGGGGGGGTCACTACTGTTAAGTGATATTTGTGGAGCAAACACAAGGGCATGGGAGTGGGAAGATACAAGCAATGCTCAGGTAACATTAACATCACAACATATGGACCAGAAAACTTGCAAGGCTAATATATCTGTCAAAGGCTCCACTCACACTAATACATCTCATGCTGTGGATCTGGAGGTGAACACCAGCTTCACTCCCCAGGTCTGTCCTGCTCTCTCTGCTTCTTCCTCCCATACTTCACTGCAGGCAGCCAGACACAAATCCACAAGAGGAGGAAACTCCATGCCTGGGTTCCGGGAATTCTTTCGCCTAGACTTCTGGGAAATGTAGTATGTGGCACTGTGACATCACGGGGAGCCATCCAGGAAATCCCAATCAGGCTTTCTGTCTACACACGTGCTTCTTCTTCAAAGTTCGGCTAGAGTTCTGCCCTGCTGTGCATTCCTGTTGCGTCTCTGACATGGAGGTTGGTCCAGGGTGCAGCTCAGCCTGAGGCACTGTGCGGGGTGCGGGGGTCCGTCTTGGAGGAAGTGGAACTGGGCTGGGTGGGAGGGCGGAAGAAACTGCCTTGGAGGTGCTGTGCTGAACTGACTGGGTCACGTGAGGTTGCAGGTCAGGGCTGGGGAGAGGGCGGTAGGGACTGTGCCTTGAGTGACAGTTTCCTTAGGATGTCCCCTGCAGCCCGAGTCAGGCTTGGTCTTCTGGGACAGGAGAGCTGCCTGGTAGCGCGGAGTAGATGATAGTACAAAGTCCAGGATTGCAAACTAATGATGGTCAGCTGACTGCCTGCTCCTGAGGTGGAGCTGGGAGCTCAGTGAGCAGCTTTGGTGGGGAAGCATGTTTCTCTAGCTGAGCCGTTCTCACATGGACGCTGTCAGATTTCTCAGAATCTGTAGAGCAAACGGGGTCTGGTCCTTCCTGTACTCTGTAGCCGGCCTAGTGTAATGGTCTTGAGGTTTTGATCGTGCTCATTGTCTCTGCCAGTTAAATAAGTAAGAGGAAAATTTTGAGGCGAAACCAAGGTCTCAGGTGGGAAATTCTGGAAGCAGCCGACAGATCTGCCAGAATCAGCTGCTATAGAAAAGCTTTGACTGGGACTGAGAGAATACACATACCCTCCCCCGACACACACAAAGGGACCTTCTGCAGGAAAAAGGAACTGAAGAAGCTGACTCCAGGCCTCACCTTAAGGGCTGTGTTTTCTTAACCTTGGAAAGGTCTTCCATCCCTTCTGTAGGGTGGACCACAGTGGTTGTGTCAACAGGTCTTGATCTTGTCTTGAAGTGTTGAGCTAGTCCATAAGCAGGATGTCTAGGAACAGATGAAAAACTCTCATGGCTTTGGGTTCCAGTGCCAGGCTTTTTTGTCAAGTCAGCAGGGTGAGGAAGAACTCACAGACCTGTGTGTATTCATGTGACAATAAACAGACCTGTGATAGAAAAGAAACTTAAGTCTGTTGTACTCAGAATGCCCCAAATACCACCAAGAGACCAAATCCAATGCAAAAGCAAGGTGGTCTTGGGGTCTACAAACTACATAAGAACAGACTCAGGATTGGTTTGTGTGAGTGGCCATCATGTTAGTAACTTTTTATTGGCTAGGATTAGTTGGGGGTTACAGTTACCCATTTTTGGACAGGCCTGGACAAGTCCCAAGCTTTGTCCTTTAGCAGACATGGAGGTTGACTGGCCTAGCAAGAACTGACTGTGGGACCTGATTCAAGTGCGTCCTATCTCCCTGTCCTTGCTGGCAGGGGCATCAGTGATTAATTGTCTTTTGTTCATGACCCTCTCAGAACCTGCTTGCTCAAGTCTCGGGAAACTGAAACTGAGGCCTGATCTCTGAGAAAAGACTGAGCAGCCTGCTATAGCACATGCTTGGTCCTATCAGGTCTGCTCTATGGCACATCCCTGTCATCTCTGCATTTGTGAGGGGGAGGCAGGACCTCTGGTCATCCTCTGCTTTATAGCAAATTCAAAGCCAGAGTAAGTCAGAAAACATTTAGACATGCTTCAAGGTCATGAGAAATACTTTCTGTGGTTCACTTCATGTTTCTTACAGTGAGCGCCATGACAAATCCATGCAATCAGCACTTTACTGACTTAAAAACTACTTGTGCTTAACATCTGTTCACACATTCCATGTATAATTTAAACTTTTTTCAATATAATGCTTTTGTTATAGATATTAAATTTTGGTGATTACATACTTGCTCTCATTTACTCTGTGAGGAAGAATTCCTCTTTGCCTGGCTTGAATATTCCTTCCTATATGCAGTGATTGTTCATTCCTTTTGGTTATTAATCTGTGTTAGTTACTGTCGTGACCTGATGCTGATTTCTTCTGGTTTCACTGATTTCTTCCAGGTTGCTCCTTTCATATCTAATCTGAGACTCCATTATTTCTTCATTTCCATTCTGCAGTTCTTGACTGATGTGGCTACTGTGGTTCCATTCCCGGGTCTTTTTCTGCAACTGCAGCTGGGATGCCTTCCCCTGTCCTTACACCAGAGGTTCCACTGTGTGCAGATGCTTCTTACAGTGAGCCAGGACAAAACCACTTCCTCCCTGTCCTTCACATGGGCACTGCCATATCCAACCAGTAAAGCCAAGTGCTAATGCTGGTTCCTGCTCTTCACAGGTCCAGTCCAGTTCCCCTTGTTGAGCAGTCCTGTCTCTTTCCTCCCAGGCTCCTTTCATTGTGTTCTAATGTCAATGTGAGGGAGGGAGTTCCTTGTGTTTACAACTCATGCATGAGCCTTGCTGTGTTAGACATGTCATATCTGGAAACCTCTGGAGGGGAGGTGTGCTGGGTGAGGACATTCAGTTCCTGTTGATCGATCTATATGATTATATAGAGTCCATGGAGAGATAGTGCATAAGATTTGAACAGGGTCAAACACATGCAAGGAATAAACCTGAGCAGCACAGATTTTCATTACATTGTCATTTTTGTCATAGTGTCCTCCGTAGTCATTATTAAACACAGGAACATATTTTGAGTTATAAGGTGTGTGTGAATGCATGCCCATCTTCTTGAAAATCTACATTCCATTGTTCTCTGTGGCAGGGTCCTGTGCTCTTGTTCCCTTTGGGGGAGGGGGCCAAGTAGGCTCAGAGTCAAACCACACAGACTCTGGAAGGATGTCCAAACAAGCTCAGTTTATTCAGGAAGAGGTAAGCCTCATATACCCTCCACCCTACCCTGGGGGGAGGTCTGATGAATATGCATCTGCTGGTGTGGCATGGCTGCCTCTCATTGGTCCAGGTCATCTCCAGATCATGTTTCACTGCTGTTGCTGAGGTCCTTAGGCAGACCTGGTTGACTCTCAGAAAGTTTCTTTTTTACTTGTTTGGGCCTGCTGGCCCTCAAGCCTGTTAGGAAGGAGTCATCCCACAGTTCTCTTCTTTGCGTTATCTATATGAAGTCAGATGTATGAGAGTGCATGTCCCAAAACTATTGGCTACAATCCACTTACTGGTCCTTCAAGGAGACTTAGAAGAAATAGGTGGACTATTAAAATCCACACACCCATCTAGAAATCTAATGTAAAATGCCAAGTTTGGGATAATTGTAGCTGGAGAGTTTTTCTCCAGCTCCTGCCAATCCCCGCCAGTCCTGGAGCCCACTTATAAAATAAACACACCGACCCTTATATAATTTAAACTGCTCGGCCATTAGCTTAGGCCCACCATTGTCTAGCTCTTACTCTTATACTCATCCCATTTCTGTTAATCTATATGTCACCACATGTTCTGTGGCTTTACCTGTTGCCTCTACATTGATGCTCCCTGGACGGCAGCTGGTGTCTCCTCCCCTCTGCCTTCCTGTCCTTTCCTCTCTCCTCTCTCCTCTCTCCTTGTCCCGCCTATACTTCCTGCCTAGCTACTGGCCAATCAGTGTTTTATGTATCAAACAATCATCCACAGCAGATAATATTTTGAAATTTATATTATAATTATGTAATTCATGTTTCCAAAGGAGATACTACAATTGGTCTCCCATATTTTTCATGATTTATTCCACTTCCTGAATCATATAATTGCAAGACATGTTGGCTTAATTAATAGCAAATATTAATGAGTCATGCCACACATATGCAAGTATAGAGCCTGGATGGAGACCTAGGAGTTGGTACTTGATGATGTGTGTAATGTGTATTTTAAGCACTATGTCCTTTGATCAGGACATAGACTGCTTTGAATGGAAGGTCACTACTGTTAGGAACTGACCAGGAATCCAGTCCTCCCTTTGCATCTGGATTGGCCTTCCCACCAATCTTCAGTTTTGTTTGATTCTCTGAAAAGGTGTCTCTGAGGAATACTGACAGGAGATGCAGGAGTTCCTAATGTATCTACTCTGTCCATTCTGTTGTTCTAGGCTTGACTCTAGGGTCAGTCTCTATTCAAGTGGACTACAGATTTCTGCCTCAAAATTATGCTGAGAATTGTAGCATGAATCTTAAAAAGTCTTATTAATAAAACAAATTCAGGGCCTGGTATTGGGGTGAATGCTGGAAGATCAGAGAAGCAGAACAAGCCACAGCTACCTCACCTCGACAGTTCCTCAGCTGGTCCTGTTTCCTCAGACTGGAAGCCTCTGAGTCCTCATCTAGAATGAATCTCAGCTGAACTGCTGCTAGAAGCCTGAAAGCTTAACCAGCCAAAAGCTTCTCATTTCTGGTCTTCACGCCTTATATATCTTTCTGTTTTTGCCATCACTCCCTGTGATTAAAGGCTCACTTCTTGGGATTAAAGCCACCATGCCTGGCTGTTTCCAATATGGCCTTGAACTCACGGAGATCCAGAGGAATTTCTACCTCTGGAATGCTAGGATTAAAGGTGTGAGTGCCACCATTTTCTAGCCTTTGTATCTAGTGTTATGTCTCTGACCCCAGATAAAGTTATTAGGGTGCACAATATTTTGGGGAACACAATACTACCACAGAGAATGTTAGCAATTTTTAATGAACGACACTTTTGCCCACCTCAGACCAGACATTATTTGCATTTCTTCTTCATAGAAAGTGAATTTTGCCAGGCTCAAATTCCCTTCATATGGTTGCCATTAGTTGTATTGGATAAAATTCCTGCTAAATGCTCTCCTGTTTACAGGTGCACTGTCCTCCACCCACAGCATCTCATAGAGGATTGACCTCAAGACAGCAGACGCTTCCTCATGGAATGGTGTTAGACAGTGCTGGGCAACACAGGCAGTGATCCTTGCAGTTAGTTCTCCATTGGAGACCTATAATATTTCTCTCACAAAAGTATGTTTCCATCTTCACTGTGCTCAGAGCTCTTTCCATTCTCCACAGTGACTATTTTCCCCTGCTCTTTGTGATCATATAAATAAGAAGAGTCATATCTGAGGTTTTTTTCCCCTTCCTTGTGAAGGTAGGAATGTGCTTTACTAGCTACGAAGAAGCTTTCACACAGTTCAGTTGTTTTTTTCTTTGAGAAATTACTGGGTGTTCTAGTCACCGATTTTCTTCAGTTAGCTGGTGACTTGGAGATGTGTTGTCCCAGTTGCTAATTAACTCTACCCTTTATTTAAGGACATTGTTTACGTGGTCATTCTACAGAGTATATATTTCTGCTGTGTAGCAGGAATCTTAAAAGTTCTTATTAATAAAATCAAACCTGAGGCCAGTTATTGGGTTGAACACTGGAAAATCAAAGAGCCAGAACAAGCCACAGCTACCTCACCTCGCTGGATCCTCAGCTGATCTTGTTTCCTCAGACTGGAGGCTTCTGAGTCCTCATCCAGAATGGGTCTCAGATGAATTGCTGCTCAAAAGCCTGAATGCCTAACCAGGCCAAATGCTTCTAGTTTCTGGTCTTCACGCCTTATATACCTTTCTGCTTTCTACCACCACTCCCTGGGATTAAAGGCTCGCTTTCTGGGATTAAAGGCATGAGTCACCATGCTTGGCTGTATCCTTGAACACATGAATTTCTGCCTCTGGAATGCTAGGATTAAAGGTGTGTGCTACCACTGCTTATCCTCTATGTTTAATATTGTGGCTGTTCTCTCTCTGACCCCAGATAAGTTTACTAGGGTGCACAATATTTTGGGGAACACAATACCACCACATTTCCCCTCTTTTTGTCTTAAATTTAAAAAAAGCTTATAAATAATACAAGAAAAATTGTATCCAATAAGTATATACAATGTACACAGTCAAGATTATTTTAACGATGTCTAGTCCATTAACATTTGATAGATTCAGACAAAAAACTCCATTATATATATTAACAATGTCCAATCCAGTAACATTTGAACCTATTTAAAACAAGTAGTTCCTTTTTAAAAGTAGATTCAAAAATTGACCTTTTTATCTTACCATATTCATATTTTCATAAAAGTTTCAATAATCTACCTTTTGTCATTTTTATATCTTCCCCTTTTTCTTTTTACAGTAGATTCAGTGATCTACCCATTTATCCTATTATTACTTTATCTTTTTTTAAACAAAAACTCTGAATCTAATCTTCTTGTTCGGCTTTTTTCCTGACCATTAGCAATTAACAACCTGTAACCAACCATCATAAACAATGACAATATCCATAACTCAAACGACCAAAAACCTCCCATCCTACCTCTTGGGAATGTGGGCATCGTTTTCTTAAAATTACTTCCTGCTTTCTAGGGGTGAAGACTTCTTTAGGGGATCCTGAAAAGAGAATTTTGGGTTAATTGTCAAGTCCTGTATCATTTGTCCAGTCTCTGTATAATAGGAAATTTCAGGACTTGTCACAAGTCCTTGTTCGAGTAGTCTGTCAGGCTGGATCATCTCAGCTAGCCATCTCGAAATTGTTCTAAACAATTTGTAGTCCAGAGTTGATCTTTCCGTGGTGTTAATCAGCTTAATGGCTTTATCATAGTCCATGTGGAATCATCATTGTGGGATCCTGTCATCCTTTTGAAGATTCCAAAGTCACTGTTAGGCATGGACATGGTTCCCTTTAGACTGCTGTACCAAAGGTCTTGTGACAATAGCTACTCCCTCCTCCCAATGCTGACACAAGACTCAGGGGATTAAAGCTCGATCTTACCTGAAGGTCTCCTGCCTAACGGTGAGTTTTCTTAGTGCTGGAGGATGCTTTGCAAGTTCCAAGGGAGAGAAGCAACAAATAGTCCTGCTTAGCTGTTACGACCATGAACCACAGCAATGACCAGTATGGCAGGATATTTCTAAAGGTGTCACAGTGCCTCTCACATCTTGGCCTTAGCAGCAGCTGTCAAAGGGACTTAGAGTGGACAGGAGACCTACAGAATGCTTGGAGCTGCCTCTGATGACTTGTTAGGTCTTAAATCATAGAGGAGAACATTCTAATCCCACTATACTGTCATAATCCCTAACTGCACTCCAAATACTTCTCTTAGACCTACAGTGGAGTGTAGGTGTCACTGCACATCAAAGGTGCCTCTTTCTGCAGCACAGAGAACATTCCAGAAAACTAAAACTTACAAAGTGCACAGAACTATTGTCTGTGGTGCCGTGACCCAAAAGATACCCTGCACCACAGTTCCTGCACACAAGGCTCAGGGAATATCTCCAGAGAGGGGGCATATTGATTATGACAGCCAGAGGTCCAGGAAGTCTGCTGTGAGGTTGTGCCTTCTGGAAAGTGAAGGGAAGCCGCACCCATGATACCCCAACAACATGGCTGCCTGAACAAGCCCTGAAGAGTGACAGTGGCACAAGATCCCCTGCAGGGGGCAGTCTGCTGGGTAAGCATCCAAGTGTAAGCACCTGAGAACTGCTGAGAGAGGGAGAATAGTGTTTCCAGGAGGAGAGCGCTCACTGTTCATGGAGTAACAAGTGGTCAGTCCTCAAACATACACACAGTCAACAGTGAACAGAATCGGCCAGTCATGTTTATACAGTTATGTATATATGCTCTCTGTGTGTAAAACAATAATAATTAGAGAAGAATAAGCTTCATATTTGAAATGGACTATAGGGGGACATGAGAGAAGTTGCAGTGAGAAGTTAGAGGGGAAATGACATACTTACATTTTAATTCAGTAACTTTTCAGAGAAAAAGTACATTCTTGCCAATTGTGACAATATTGGTGAAACTGGAAGTTATTTCAGGCAGATAAAGGTAAATAACACATGATCTCAGTATGTTAAATGTAATGAATTGTAACTCATATAAGATAGAGCTATGTTCAACATACAGAATCGTAACGGACAGAAGTTGGAGATGCAATGATTTTTCTATTGACCAGTGACCTCAGGAAGCCAACACTTAGGGACTTACTTCCTTGTTGTGGAGTATTAGTTGAACATTGCAAAGAGGTTTTGCATTTGTATACAGAATATATCTTTAACTATGTGAAGATGTGTTGCATTTGTTTACCTTGCCTGCCTAAGGTACCTGATTCCTCTAATAAAACCTAGATAGGCAATAGCTATGCAGGAGGTAGAGGTGGGACTTCAGGGCAAAGAGTAAGAGGAGAAATGTAGGAGACAGAGACAGAGGGAGTTGCCAGGGGCCAGCCAGACTCAGAGGAAACAGGAAAGCAGGACATACAGAATGAAAGAAAAGTAAAGGCCCAAAGGCAAAACGTAGATGACTAGAAACAGGAAAATGAAGTTATAAGAGTGAGTGGGACAAGCATAAGCTAAAGGCCAAGCTTTCCTAATTAATAAGAAGTCTCTGTGTCATTACTTGGGAGCTGGTTGGTTTCCTAAAGAAAAATGCCAGCTTCACTTCCTGAAGAATGAATGCTCTGGGCCAGTGTGATAGGAGGGAGAAGCCCCCGGTACTGTTGTCCCGAGCGCTGGGTGTCTGTAAGCATTATGTAGGGTACATTTCAGAAATCCAGAAGATAGTGTTTGAGGAGGTGACCATACCATAACTGAGAAAGAGGATCCAAAGGTTAACCATGAAGTTATTACAAAATACCTCATTACTATATAAGTACCTGTTATTCCCTGTATTGATACAAAGAAAAATTAATTTGTGACTTTTCCGATAGGTCATTCTGGACTTTATTCAATAAAATACGAAAAACATAAATTTTAAAATTAGAAAAATTTGAAATAAAAAATAGCATGAGCAATTGTACTTCTCAGCTTCAGCACAGAGATGCACAGGTGTCGTATGTGCAAAACATGCTCTAGGAATACCGCAAACACCTCAATCAACACCTGTCAGAGCAAAGATAGGAAGGAAAATGGGTAAAAGATCAAGTGATGTCTAATCTATTTTAAATTCTCAACAGCATTGTACTTGCCTGTTTTCTCACGTGATCAGATACTTAAATGACATTCAGTCTGTGAGTTCCTCCCCTGCCTGCTCCTTCTCATGTCCCGTGTCACCATCATTTGCACCATTAGTGAATCTGTAGAAATCCTGAAACCCAGATGACAGCCCGAGCTGCTGCATCAGACTCTGTATGTTCATTTCACTTCACATTCATGCCTGTGCTTATCAACTGTTGAAAAATTCCTTCTCCCCCACCATGACTTCCTCCTGTGGGAAATGTGTGTATGTGTGGTGTATAGTATCATATGGCACTAAATGCATGTTCCATGTGTGTGTTCATTTTACATTTCTGTCTTAAATAGATCATGTCCAACTTGGCTTATTGGATGTTTTACCCTGTCTTTCTTGAAGATGGGTTCAGTGTGAGATCATGTGACCACTTCAGTCATATTACTCACCTATTTAAGAAACATTTCCAGCTCTCTATCATCCTGGGCAAAATCTAGATTTGTGTCCACAAGCACATGATGCCTGTGTTAGGGTTTCTCTTGCTGTGATAAAGACCATGATTATAGACAGTTTGGAGAAAAAAAGGTTTATTTTAGACCACAACTTCAGGTAACTGTCCATCACTGAGGGAAGTCAAGGCAGGAACCTGAGGCAAGAACTGGAGCAGAGGCCACAGAAGAACACTGCTTCCTGACTTGCCCAGCCTGCTTTCCTACACCATATAGAACTGCCTACCCAGGACAAGTACCACCCATAATGGGCTGTGCTGTGTCATATCAATCAGTAATTAAGAAATGCCCATTAGGCTTGGCTACAGGACTGTCCTAGGGAGGCCTTTTCTGAATTATGTTTCTTCTGAAATGACCCTAACTAGTGTCAAACTGACAGGAGAACTCTCCAGCCCAATGCATTTTGGTATTTATATTATTCGTGGTTTTAATTAATTAAAAGTGTGATATCATTCTTTGATCTTTGTTTCAGGAAATGCTGTCCTTCTGGGATGTGGCCATTGAGTTCTCTGCAGAAGAGAGGGACTGCCTGGAGCCTGTTCAGTGGAATTTGTACAGGGATGTGATGTTGGAGAATTACAGCCACCTTGTGTTCCTTGGTGAGGCTCTCATCCATAGTGAATTCTTATTTCACCATCAACATGTAGCTTCCTCACTTTGTATGGTATCTCATGGGAGCATTTCAACAGCCTTTTTCATATCCTTTGTTTTCAGAAAAATTAAGGAGGTTGCTGTATTAAGAACCATTTCAGGACTGGTGAGATGGCTCAGTTGTTAAGAGCACTCATTGCTCGTCTAGAGGATTAGGGTTCAATTTCCAGCATGCATATGGCAGCTTACAACTAACTGTAATCCCAAGATCTCACACCCTCATGTGTTCTATTTTGATTGTGTTCTGACAAATAAAGCCTGGAGTCAGGGGGTGATGCTAGCCACTGGCTGGTCATAGAGGCTCAGAGGCTTGTAGAAAGATGGACCAGAAGTGGTAAGTCAGGACTGAGACAGCATTTGAGCCCTTTTGGATCAAGGAACAGAATATGTAGGAAGTAACTGTGTCTGCTCCTCTGCTTGTCTGATCTTTCAGGTTTTTCTCGCAATATCTTACTTCCATTTTTTTTATTAATAAAGATTAACTTGTTTAACACTTTCCACATAAGACAAAAGTGCAGGTAAAACACCAATGTGTATATAAAATTAAAATTAAAAAAAATATCATTACACTGTTTTTCTCTTTGTGTTTAACATTTCTGTGTTGGGTATATGTTTCCTTCACTCTAGTGGGACTTAGAAATTCAATGGCATGAGACCTCAAGTACACTTGTTAATTAAAGTGTTTCACTATTCAGTTTTAATGTTTTTTTTTCCTTTAAATGAAACTCGGAATCTAGATATTGTAAATTCCTTTATGTAGTGTAGTAATTCTGTCAGAAAACATTTAAGGAACTGATTGTCTGCAATCATTTATTTCATCATCTCTTTCCTTATAAGCCATGTACTGGAAGGCACATGTCAATTCCAAGTAAAAGAACACACAAACAATCTTGTTCCTTCTTTTTTCTACAAACAGGTCTTGCTGTGTCTAAGCCACACCTGGTGACATTTTTGGAGCAAAGACAAGAATCTTCAGATGTGAAGAGACAAGCAGCAGCCAACATACAGCCAGGTGTGTAGGAATGAGGGGTTTGGGGTCAGCGTTGAGGTCCAAATATCCCACAGAAAGGCAGGCTTTCCCATTACCCTGGAACATGACACTGTGGGAATCATTCTTTAGGTCTCTCCTTCATGTCTTTGTTGTCAAAGCTCATCTCTGAGAAGTTTATGATGGTTTAAGTCTTTTTTTATTTCTTTTCTTCTTTACTAAGAAATTTCCTATTCATTTTACGTACCAGCCACAGATTCCCCTCACCTCCCTCCTCCCCTTCTCCAGCCTTTCCCCTCATACCAACTCCCGTTCCCACCTCCTCCAAGGTAAGGCCTCCTGTGAGGAGTCAGCAGAGCCTGGTACACTCAGTTCAGGCAGGTCCACGCCCCTCCCTCCTGGACCAAGGCTGTGTAAAGTGTCCCACCGTAGGCACTGGGCTCCCAGCTTAACTCTCTTAAGCTTTGTGATTCCGCAACTACTACTCAATCGCTGTGCTTCTATTTAAAGTGACTTCCAAGGTTTTTCTTTTTGTTGATTCTTTTTTTTTTGTAGTATAAGACTCAGAGAAAGAGAACTCAGTGCTGGTCAGACTAAGAGTTATTTATTAGCAGAGGTTAAGAGTAGATTTTGCCAGAAAGATCTCTGCACCAAAGTGAGTGTGATTGGGTTTATTAAGCCAGACCAACAGTTCCATCACAGAGAGGCAGGAGGGGCAGAAGGCTCAACAGTTCTGTTGAGTAGAACAATTTGGGGGTAGGGAGCAGTTGGAGAAAACTCAGACAATCTGAGTCACTTTGGACAGTGTATTCCCCACTGATCTTAGGGAAGAGTCAAAGCATTAGTAGTGTAGAAGGGGATGGGTTAGGCCATTAGAAGCTGTTTGGTTTTTTTTCAATACTTTTACCACCAGTAGGTTCAGCAGGGCCTGACCATCAGACCTAGGAAGACAAGGACAGGATGAGTTACAGGGACTTACACTTGATTCAGGGATGCCCATGAAACTAGTTCTGGGTACAGTGATTGTGTGCCTCTCTCTCATGCCTCTCTTTCACTGTGTTGTAAGGCTCCATGGTTTTTTGAAGTTTTTTTGTTGTTTTTTCAAGTTAATATATTTTTTTGGTATATTAGGTCTAACTGTTATTTGGACATAGTCCCAGTCACAGCTTGTTAGAGAAATTAGAAACTTTTATATATAAATCTGATGTTCCAAGATACATCAGAGCTAGTAACATGTTTTGTTTCAGATCCAGTCAGGATAGCCACTGTGGCTAGTCCTATAGCAAGCATTATGGCTATTATTACCATAAGTACAATGGGATGAAGAGATCTTGTAGTCCCTTCTTCTCCAGGTCCTCTGTTGATTCTCAGACTTCCTCCAACTGTATATTTTCATTTACCCCCAGATTTGTAATGGGAGCATGGCTTAGGAGTGTAGGTGTTTTTTTTTTGTCAGGACTATGATCAGCTATGTCCACCAGCCATTCTCAATAACAACTCAGAGACTTAATATTAATTATAAATGCTCAGATGATTGCTTAGGCTTATTAATAATTAGCTCTTACATTTGAAATTAACTCATATGTCTTATTTATACTCTGCCATGTGATGGTACCTTTTCTTCATATGACCTATTTATTTCTTTCTCCTCTGCATCCTGGTGACTCCTCTGACTCTCCCCTTCCACTTCCCATCATTCTCTCTGCCCTGAAAATCCTGCCAAGCCATGGGCCAATCAGTTTTTTATTAACAATGAGAGTTTTATTAACATCTTCACAGTGTGCAGAAGGATTATTCCACAGCATTTCCCCCTTTTTGTCTAATTAAAGGGGATTTTAATTTTAACATAGTAAAACTATGTATAACAATAACAGTTGTCAAGTAAGACAGTTACAATATCCAGTCCATTTGTATTTGGCAAATTTAGAGAAAATATTTTATTATCTGCCTTATCTTTGTGAGTCGAAAAAGTTTTATATCTAATTTACCTTTTATCATAACTAAGAAAAAATTTAAGTCTAATTATTTAGTTTTTAACTCAATCAAAGACTCTAGAAGGGTGAAATGTTGCCTAATGACAGGGACATCTGGCTGCCTGGACAGTCACTCAAAGTTTTTCTGTAATGTTGGGCATTTATTTTTGGCCTACAGGCCTAGGATATCTGACAGACAGTTTTGAGAAGCAGGGAGTTTTGAAGGACTGTGCTAATTTGTCTTGGCAAAGGTTGGCAGTCACTTTCTTTATGTCCTGCTGGCCTAGTTTGGACAGTATACTGTCAGTAATTGGGGCAAGGGCAATTCATTTGTCCAAATGAGTAGCTTTTGCCATAAAGAAAGTAAACTCCATATGGAGTTTCCTCAATGTCCACCATCTTCTTTGAAGTAAATTGGTGCTGTCAGGAACAGACATGTTTTTCTGTCTAGAAAACCTATGTTATTAAAATATCTTAAATGACATATACTGTAGGTCTTTGAAGTGTTTGAAGATAGTCTGTCTATCCAAATACATCTGTTTATGACCTTGAAAATATACCTAACATGACTATAAGTTTGATTATTATAGATGACTAACTACTAACCTGTATTTTTAATTATACATTACATTTTTAAATGAACTGCATAAACACAATACCCCAAACAAGAGTAGAAACGTACATATAGTATAAAAAATTAACTTTCGCCGGGCGGTGGTGGCGCACGCCTTTAATCCCAGCACTCGGGAGGCAGAGCCAGGCGGATCTCTGTGAGTTCGAGGCCAGCCTGGGCTACCAAGTGAGTTCCAGGAAAGGCACAAAGCTACACAGAGAAACCCTGTCTCGAAAAAAACCAAAAAAAAAAAAAAAAAAAAATTAACTTTCAATTTGTATCAATAAACTAAAATTCATACCAATGTAAAATATTTTGAGATTAATGCTTGTCTTTTGGCTTAAAGTAGATTCAATAATCTACCCTTTTATCTTATCATTTCTATATCATATCAGGTTCTTTCCTTTAGAAGAGATCTTTGAATTTAACTCTTTTGTTTAGACTTTTTTTCCCACTAAGACCAATCACATCTTGTAACCAGTCCCCCTTAAATGATAATAAACATCCATAACCCATATTTTGGAAATGTGGGTGTTGTCTTTGGACTACTTCCTGTTGTCTGTGGGCACTGGTATCTTTGGGGAAACATTGAGAAAATCATGATAATTGTTAGGTCTTCGCTGGAGTAGTCTGTAACGCTGGATCATCTCAGCCAGCAGCCTTGAAACTGTTTTTGATTCAGAATTCTAAGCAAACTGCAACAGAGGTTTGCTGAGATGTCAGATCATCTGGGCCATTCATTTTTATTGGTGTCTGGTCTCCTTGTTCTGAAAATACATAAACTTTTAAAAGTAACATACATATCTGTATTAATACAAGTATAGACTGTGTGGTGTTCACAAGTTAGCTAAAGATGACTTTTTTTTGTTTTATGTTTGAGCAGGTAAAATATATGTCATATATTTTGTAGTTTTTCCAGGTTTATTTCTTTATGTTTGTAGCCAAGATTTTCATGGGGGTTCTTCCTTGATCAAACCTGATCCATATCTACCTGGAATAAATCCACAGCCTCTCATTTCCTGTGGAAATAAAAGCATAACCTCTCTCCCAAAAATAACATAGTTTTTTTTTTACTTCTTTTTAAAGTCAAGATATTTTTAAAATATACAGTTAATCCAGCAGTTTTCATAGTCCAATACATCTTAATAGCTGTTGTTCCTTCATTAGCAATCAGAACATCCAAAGACAACATACAGAATCCAGACACTCTGTGTATTCCCCATCTTTATGTGGCTTTTTTCTTTTATATTACTTTACTCTCTTTCCAAGGGCTTTTACTTTATTATTTTAAACATAGTTATATATATATAAATTTATGACTGTCTATACTCATTTTCTTTTTTCTCCCTATCTTTTATACTATAACCCATTTAGAGGTTTTTTTTTTCCCCATCTAGATCTGTTCTTCCTGAGCATCTGTAATCTTTTATGTCTACATGAGCAAAACCCCAAACCGACCACACATTGCACCAGTGGAGCTCTTGCTGGCTGCTCAAATCTGTAGGCATCTGCCAATAGATGTGTCTCTATATTGTGGTCCACATGAGAAACAGGAGACTCGACAGATGGGTGTGGCTCTGTTTTTGCATGTTTAGAACCATTTTTAAGCTTGCTCAGGCCTTATGGGGATGTGGGTGCACCAGGGTGGAACACCATTTGTAGGTGGAGTTTTCCTGTCTCAGTAGCTGCTCCAAAATGACCAACACAGGGACTTAATGTTAATTATCAATGCTCAGGCATTAGCTTACGCTCATTTTTAGCTAGCTCTTACATTTTAAATAAATTCATATTTCTTATCTACTGTCTTTCATGTGGTGATACTGTCTTTCAACACAGTATGTTCATCTTGTTTCTCTCTGCATCTGCTGGCATTCTGCACATCTCACTCCGCCCTTCTTCCCAGCATTCTCTCTGCCCAGAAAAATCCTGCCTAGCCATCAGCCAATCAGCTATTAACCATAAAAGTAATACATATTCCTATTGTACAAAAAAGATTGTTCCACAGCAGAAGAGCTAGTCCAGATGTCTCTGGAAGGTAATTCAGAATGACTGCTCTGGGTGAATTGTCACAGTCCACCTCACCTCCTCCTCAGGCTGTATTGCTTTCTTTACCTGATGCGGTGGGTCCACACATGGCACAAGCAGCTTAGTTTAAGTGAGTGCCACAGTTCATCCTGCTGTGCTGACTGGCCCTGTGACAGAGCCTCTGTCATATATTATCTACCACTTTGCTGAGGACTCCTTACACAATCAGACATGGACAGCTCAGCTCTGGGGTTAGCTTTGTTAGGAAGAGCAAATTCAGAGCCAGGAGACAGGGCATGGCCGTTTGAACTAGCATGTAGTTCACATACCATTTGGGTAGCAGGCATAGGTATCAGGTTCTCCTGTACATAAGATCCTCAACTATCAGTTCAGGAGACATGGAGTACAGAAAA